ATCTACTTCCATACATTGATTAAAACTCAGTTTGACACCTCTATCAAAGCACTGCAGTGTGATGGTGGTGGTGAATTCATTGCCCTTAATTCCTTTTTGGCTAAAAATGGCATAAAATCCAAAGTTTCATGCCTCTATACACCAGAGCAGAATGGATTAGCTGAGAAAAAACACAGGCACATTGTGCAATTTGTTTATCCTTGTTATTCCAATCTCATGTACCCTCCAAATTTTGGGATGAGGTTTTTTCAAGTGCAGTCTACCTTATCAACAGAACCCTTCAAAAGGTTCTTCACATTAAATCTTCTTTGAAAATTTTGACCAATACTAAACCTGATTATCTTTTTCTCAAGAGTTTTGTCCGCCTTTGCTTTCCTCTTTTCAAACGATACAACCAAAATAAGCTTCAACCAAAAAGTTTGGTCTCAGTTTTCCTTGGCTATAATTCTAACCACAACGGCTATAAAGTACTTCTTTCTTCTGGCAAAATCATTCTCACTAGAAATGTTCTTTTTGATGAATCCACTTTTCCTTTAAACACTACTTCCTCATCCACTTCCTTTATTCCTACTAATTCTGATGTTCCTCATACTACCCCCCCCCCCTTTTGTTTATTTCCCAACTCCTTCTTCTGACAACCATTATTCTTTACCTTCAAATTTTTAGGCTCAAGACATCACTTCTGATTACCAAATTCCAACAAACTCTTATTCTCCTAGTAATTACCCTCATTCTTCTCAATAATCTCTTTCTTCCTCATAACATCATCTATAATTCTCTCATTCCACCACTTCATATGATTCGTCTATTCCTATTGGACAAATCATCATTTATTTACCTATTAAGCATAATGTTGTATCTCAACCTGTTGCTACTAATGTGCTGGATCATGCAGTCATAGGTACTCATCTCATGACCACAAGGTCAAAGTCAGGCATTTTCAAACCCAAGAGCTATTCCACTGTCTTGAGTTCAGAAATGGAACCATCATCTCTCAATGAAGCTCTCTCTTCTCCTTAGTGGTTACAGACAATGCAAACTGAATATCATGCTTTAGTCAGCAACAACACATGGTCTTTGGTCCCAGCACCCAAACATAGGACCATAGTTGGCAGCAAATAGGTGTTTAAGCTTAAAACTAATCTTGATGGATCAGTTGCCAGACATAAAGCCAGATTAGTGGCCAGAGGCTTCACTCAAGATGCTGGTTCAGATTACAAGGAAACCTTTAGCTCTGTTGTCAAACCAACCACTATCAGACTCATTTTATCCATTTCTATTTCTCTTGGTTGGGAGCTTAAACAGATAAATGTTGATAATGCTTTTTTGAATGGCACATTAACTGAGGAGATTTACATGGAGCAAGCCCATGTCTTTGAATTCAATACAGCTCAAGGTCTTGTTTGCAAACTCAACAAATCACTTTATGACTTAAAACAGGCTTCAAGGGCTTGGACTTCAAAATTCAGTTATGTTTTACAATCTCTTGGTTTTTCAGTCTCTAAAGCAGATACCTCTTTGTACTTCAGACATTCACATCATAGTTCTATCTTCATCCTTGCTTATGTGGATGACATAATACTCACTGGTAGTGATTCTCATGAGCTCTCTCATTTGGTTAGCACTCTTTCCACTCACTTTTCCTTAAAAGATCTTGGCAAACTACATTTCTTTCTCGGAGTTAATGTTACTTACCACCACAATCATGTTGTTTTGGACCAATCTCAGTACGATGATTCTCTCTTAGATATGGTTGGTATGAAGGGGTAAAAAGGTTAAGCTCTCCTATGGTTTCATCTCCACCCCTATCTAAGTATATGGGATGCCCCATGGATAATCCTTATTTATACAGACAGATTGTGGGGGCATCACAATATGTTACCTTGGCAAGACCTGACATATCTTATTTTGTTAATAAGGTTTGCCAATTTATGCAAGAACCCCTTGATACTCATTGGAAACCAGTCAAGAGAATACTTAGGTATCTTGCAGGCACTAAACACTATGGGCTCAAATTTGAAAAGTGCTGTCCTTTTAACCTCATTGGGTTCTGTGATGCTGATTGAGGATCAGACTCTGATGATAGAAGATCAACCTCAGACATGTTTGTTTTCCTTGGAAATAATCTGATATCTTGGAGTGCAAAGAAGCAAAATATAGTTTCTAGATCATTTACTGAGGCTGAGTACATGAGCCTAGCACAAACTGCTTGTGAAGTGATTTGGATACAATCTTTGCTAACTGAGCTGAAAGTAGGATTTGTTAAACCAACCACAATTTGGGTGGATAACCGTGGAGCTGTATGTCTTGCTGCATCCAGTTAATCATTCAAGAACCAAGCATCTCGAGCTGGATTTACATTTCATAAAGGAGAAGATTGAAAAGAGAGTGATCTCAGTCCAACATGTGCCGGCCATCGAGCAAATAGCTGATATTTTACAAAGGCATTAACAGGACAATTCTTTACACGATTTAGGAATAAGTTAAAACTGGTTCTTAAACCCTGCAAAGAATTGAGGGGGCATATTGAGGGCCATGCACACGTCGGCATGGTTGACCACTCGAGGACCGAAACGAGCAAAAGAAAGAGGCTCAGTTGTCCGGCTGACATGGAAAATATAACGAGGAAAAGTTGTAGTCGAGCTGGGAACTTGCAGTACAAGAAAGATGACAAAAGAGACCCAAAACCCTAGACAACTTACCCTTAGCCAATGAGATCGTATCTTGTGATATCCTTATCTCTTAGTAGCTTATCATAGCCGCATATATATATACATACTATTCTGAGTGAGGTTGAGATCTGTGAACATGAAATGAAAAGAAAGCTTTACCATATCAATGAAATAGCATTAATGTCTTCTTTATCTTATTTTATGATTTTCGATTCTTTTTCCTTTTAGTTAGATCATAATGTAATCATCAGAGATAGTTGATCTAATGGTTACAAACCTCAATAAAATGATGACATAATGGACCCATAGCATCGTCCATTATTATGTTTGGTTAAAAAATGTAAATCCTTTGAGAAGGGTCATGGTCAAGTGGTTTGATTACGATTTGCAATATGCCAAGAACGGGGAAAATCGAATAAATCTTTTGCTTCAACCGCTGGTTCCCAAAATTCATCGAAAAAATAAACGGGGAAAAATAGACTGTTTTTTTCTAATCGATATTTTGTTTTTGCCAATTTATCACCTTTTAAACATTTTTGAACATTTTAAAATAAAATAGTTAAAAGTCGGTGGTACAAACGGTAAACGTAACGACTTGTCATTAACCGACTACGAACAACCAACAGCCAGTAACAACTTTCCCCAATTTTTGGCTAACCGTTACATGCGGTTCGACAACTTGAAAAACCCGACGATTTCGTAACTTGAAACGTGTTTAAATGTTATATTTACACAGACGTTATATATATAATAAGAATAACTATTTACTAAAAATAGTAATAAAAAAATTTGGGAGCATTTAATACATATTTTTTTTGAAAACTTTTTAATTGTATGCTTTAATTAATTGTTTCTATATGCACGTTTTCAAATAACGTCAAACCAGATATGATAAAAAATATTGTTTCTTAAATAATTTTATTAATATATGCAATAATTTCGTTGATATCATAAATTACAAGATTGATTTTTTGTGATTCACGTTGATAATATTTTGGTCAAGATAAATAATACAACAACCATAATATTAATTTTTCTTTTCACAAATATTCACTTTTTATCCAAAATATTTACAGAAAATCGTAATAGGTTAGATAGAATTTTTTCTTCCAATTAATCAGGATAAATCAAGTTGGTGAATTAATCTTCACCAATATAATTTTTTCTTAAGGTTTATTTTTCTTATAAATAAAAAGTAATTTTTCTTATAATTAATGTAATTTACCATTTAAGAGATAATGACCAGATATAATAAATAGTTTTACTAATGGTAAAAAATTAACATTGATTTGACAACCATGATTATTGTTTTATCATTTTTCTTTTTTTTTTTTCTTTTTAATTTGATTTCTTTCTATAATGAAATTCTTTTAAAATATATTTCCACGGCAGAGTATACTAAATAAACTATAAATACTTATAATGCAAAAAAAAAAATTGAGTTTTTGGCATTTTCTATATCAAAGTTGTTTAAATAGTATACAAAATCAAATTATAAAAAAACGTGTGTGTATATTTGAAAAATATTTATACACTATTTAATTTAAAAATTATTTACATATTTTAATATGATTACCTAAATAAACATTACTAATGTGCACTAAATATTTTTCAATACATAAAATAAAAATAAAACCATACGTACAACTTTATAACTTTTATAAATAATTATGACAATATATGACAACAAAATATATAATAAAATAATAATTAAGTATTATGTGATGAATAAGAATAAGAAACTGTATTTTCTATAATATCGTGGAATAAAATAAAAAATATTTATATTAGTATAAATGTGTTAGTGAGATAATATATTAATTATTTTACAAGCTAACCCTAAAATGCTCATATTTAATGTTCTGCTAAAATAAACAACGCTGATTAAAAGAGGTGGAAAATAATTTATAATCCTATTTTTTTTAGACTTAACACTGATTACAAGATGTGAAAAATAGATGATAACTCTACTTCTTATTAGACTTAAACGAACGTATGTGAAAATAACTCATTTAATATTGTCTCTTGCATCGCACGGAGTACGTACTAGTTCATCCTAAAACACTATATGTTATGTAAATAAAACATGAGATCTAATCATGCTAACTACATATCATGCATAATTTTTCATAATCCAAATTAAAACTCTATAATTAAAAACTTATTTACACTTTTTCTCCATCAACCCTCTCATTTCCATTTGCAATGTTAACATCAACACACATACACAATTGAGACAAAGAAAACAAAATCAAGCAAAATCTTAATTTCATATCTTTTTATTTTTCTTTTTCTCAAATACGAATGGAAAATAGGGAATAAAAACTATCAAGAAAAAATCCAGCCTCCAAGACCCTCAGCCAGCAGAAGCTTGTCAATGACCAATTTCTCCCCGAACCGATACGAAAACCTCAGCCCACCCTGAGAGTTCACGCAGCCCCTCTGTACCGGAAAACACAAAACCGCAGCTCCACCGCTACCCTTCGAGCACTCGAAGAGCTCCTTCATGGAGGTGTGGACCTCTCCCACATACCTTCAAATCATATATATAATAAGGTATTTTTAATTTGCAAAGTTTATACAAAATGTATAGGTTTTTATTATTTAATAAATATTCTTCGATAATTTTATTTTATACTTATTTTTATTATTTAATCAACCCAAGTGAGGTTTTCTCAAAATCAATTGGTGAAAAAAAGAGTAACTCACTAGACTTATAAGTTAGGCCTATTTTCCCTGTATAAACGATGTGAGACAACTTACAAGATATATTCTAACACTCTCTCTCACTTGTGGGTCCTTCGTACGAGTCCCAAGTCCAAGATACGATGTAAGAAACAAGGGGGGTAAAAGAGTGTGATCTCATGCACGTGAAGAGCACCATGACAGGGTGAGCTCAAATGTACCTTAGTTAGGTTTCATCCCAAACCAATTAATGGTAGGAGGAGTAACTCACTAGGCTATAAGTTAGGCCTATTTTCCATGTATAAACGATGTGAGACAACTCACTATGGATATTCTAACAATAAAGTTGTAATGTGTGTGGGTAGTATTGAAAAGTCGTAAAAGTTGTCAGCAAAAGAGAATATTTCGGGAATAATCTTTTGTGTTGAGTTTTTCAATTGAAATTGAATTATTATTTGATGAAACAGGTATTGCAAAATGAGTTTGAGAAATTTTTTTGTTGGCATTACCTTTATGCATCCTATTGCTATATATAAATAAAAATTTTAGTTGTTATTTCTCATAGGGTAAATAATTTTTTCCAACCTGTACTATGCGTGCTTTTGGGATTTTCAACCTAAAGTATTTTTTTTGGTAAAATGCAACCTGAACTACATATATATAATTATTTGCACGCTCGACTACTTTTTGACCGTTCGATCCACAGCAAAAAAGCACACGTGTATGGTCAAGATGTGGTCGAGCGTGCAAATAGTGATTGTATATATAGTTCAGGTTGCATTTTACAACAAATAATACTATAGGTTGGAAATCTCAAAAGCACGTATAGTACAGGTTGGAAAATATTATTTACCCTTTCTCATATATAATTTTGTTCTTTTGTTCATTGTGGTTGAAGTTTGTGGTTTCTATTATACCTTCTATTTACAAATTCTTAATTATACCTTCAAAGCTCATTTTTTGACCGAGTCATACAATATTTTTCAGAATAATTAATACCTATCGCCGAGCTTCCGTTTGCAATATAATTTGACGACGAGCGACGAGTTGTGGCTCTCGAGCATGCGCTCGCTTATCGTGTACCTCATCATGAAGTTCCAAGCGGGGTTTGTCTGCCCGTGCTTGTCGGGTGGGGTCCGCTTCTCGTTGGCGGGAGGCCCGTGGCCCCCACCACCGATAGAGACTCGGGCGTAGACTTTCATCTTGCATATTTTTCGGACGTCCTCAAGGTCGTGCGCCGATATTAGGGTTATTTCGAACGTTCGACACTCCATTTTTTAGATGCTCTCTCTTTGTGTGTGTGTGTGTGTTTAGGTTTTTTTTTTTCTTTTTGAGTTCTTTTCAAAGGAAAATGAGGGTTTTATATGTGTGTACATATGTAGTTGCGTGGTTAATTACATGACTAATGAAACAGCCAAGAAATAGAGGATTTTTATGTTAAAGTAGTTTTGTAGTTGGTAGTTACTTGCCAAGTATAACATAACGCCATATTAAATAAAATAAAATAAAGTATTAGAATATTTGATGATTTTATAATCTAGTTTGACATTTTAAGTCATTTTTTAACATCAAAATGTTCTAATTTCAACGCTAGTGTACGTAGGTACACTATCTGTAACATTAATTATAATGATTATACTTTTTTCAAAAAATATGCATTTTAACAAATTGAAATGTTATAGATAAAAATAAATAAATAAAATTGTCATATTTCGTAATGTATATAAATATATATTTTTATTAAAAATATGATGGATTATCTCACTTAATGTTTAGTCTGCCGTATAAGAATTTGATATTTAGTTAAATTTATAATACTTGGAATGACTTTTGAGCATTACAGTAAATGAAAATATTTGGTATTCTGTCACTGTTTCTAAACAATTTAATTTGTGCTGAGAAACCAATAGAGGAGCTTTGACTCTATGGAGTTTCTCGGAAATTTAATTATTGATGAACAAATCAACAAGACATTGGCATAATTTTATTTTTATCAAATTGAAACACACAATTCGACCATACTCTCACAATAACTAGGCATAATAAATTAACTTATTACCAATCACCAGCCAGCTCGGGTCAATGTCCACGTCTTGTGTCTCGATTTGCTCTCCTTCACTTCGCTTCGCTTCGTTCTTTGAGTCTCACTTTAAACGAAGCGAAGTGAAGTTTCATCATAAAGGAAAGGTTCGCTTTGAAATATATATATTATTAATTGCTTGGAGCGGCCGTCAACTCAATATGTAAGGGGAATAATCAGGTCAGTCAGTATCGCGAGAACGAAGAAAATGGCATAGGATCCATGTAACTGAGAAAATTTGATGAATAATTTTTTTTCTTGTAAATTTGATAAGTTGTTAAAAAATTTATATGACACTATGCTTGACAGTCTCAAACTTACTGGAACAAAATATTAGGGGTGCTTAAGTAAAATAGACTCTATTTTAGTGTAGAGAGTTTGCTCTATTTTATAGTACAGTGAAACAAAAATTAAGTTTGGTTACAAAATATTTTATTTTAGTTTTATCAGTTAAATTAATTTCAATATAACTTGATTGATATATATATATTTCTATCAATATTATTTCACTTAATAAAATATTCATTAATATTGAATTGAAATCTACATATTAGTACGACAGTCATGCACCACGGGTATTTGTAAAAAAAAAAAATTGATACTTTTACAAGAAACATAATAAAATAATTATATTCACATCGTTACAAAAATAACAAAATTATATTATTTAATATGAAGCCCATGTTCTACATTTAGTTTGTTAAAGTAATAATTATTAATTATATTTATTAAGTTATATATCTTTGAATCATATATCTATATCTATATCTATATCTATATCTATATTAAAAGCCAACCTATTTACCAAAAATGTAGCAAGAAAATTCAACACACATTTAATGCATACTTTATTTGGAAATTTTTTACTATATGCATTAAATGCTTGCATATTTACATTTACTATCTAAATATGATCTTAAAGATTTTTTCCTTAAATAATTTATGCAATGATTTTACTGATATCCATTATAATTAATATTTGTCGAGTAATATT